ACTAACTCCATGCCCTGCTATTCCATCATATCGCCGTTGCACGAATGAAGAGACAATCCAACATCATTGCCAGAAAAACGTCGACTCTAAAGCCAACGAGTATGGCGGAATCATCCACCTTCAAGAGCAAACTCGCATGCGCCCTCTTCTTCGTAATTCGCGCGTGCATGGCGTCAGTGCACAGCAGAGTGAGATTCCGCGCGACCTTATCCGACGCCGCATGGATCTCCATCGAGAGACTCTCAGACCACTCACTCTTCTGAGTTAAACGGCGCCTCTTTTGGGGAGGAACTCCGCAAACAAAAACTCAGATACATCATAGCCCGCGCTCCGCACCTAGAAACAGTGGATCCCAATGGTGTCGCCCACCCACCGCGCGAGGATCTGGGAAATCGCGCACGCGCGATGCAAGTGCAGACTAGGGCCCGATTAAGCTCAAGAAAGCAACGAACAGCGTTACAGACAGCAGGAGCGCCAGGCCACCCCTGGGCGACGCCTTTTTTGGGGGGCAATCAGAGACGCACCATAATACAAATGCCCATACTTAAGATCAAAAGCGACCAAGGCGGCGAATATCAGTCACCTGAAATTTGAAACTGCCCCGGGACAAGCCGAGGAATTATGCGGTCCGGCGACGTCCTTGGTCGCGTTAGCAAGGTTGCGCAAATGACCAGGAACTCTTGCTGAAACGCGCGGGCTGGCCTCCGCGAGGGTGCGTGCACCGAGCGGCCCTGGGCGCACTCGCGCATTGGCGCCTGATGCCAGCGACCTGGGGCCATTTAACCATAAGCCAATCGACAGCCCGGGATATCAAATTCCATTAAACATTGTCATAAAACCCATCAGTGTCACGTTTCAGCGGGGCGAGAAATTGCATGACGCCCTGCCTCCGCTTTTCAAACATGTCAGCGTTGAAGAAGCGACATCGAGTCGCGCGCTGGTGCGAGAGGACACTAACCTAGGCAGGGCAGACATGATGAATCACGCTGTTCAGAGCGCGGCAGAGCAAAGAAGGCAATGGTCTCAAACGGCGGTGGAAATACTTATGGCCCCACTGGCCGAGACTTAAAATGAATCTTCGAATTGTTGGCCACATGTCAATGGCACCGAAAGAGTGGCGTTCGGCCCGCGGGCAAAACGCACAAGCGCGGCGAAACGCATCCTGAGCATCGCGAAACTCGGCGTGAAGAGCCGCCCATCCCGATGCAATTCGAAAAGAACATGTCGCGCGAGAATGCGACACTCCTCGCGCGATCTTGCCAATCACGCGGGCACGACATTGCAATGCGGGCCTCGGCCTCGTCGATCGGGGTCGCCGCGGCGATTCCGGACAGCAAGCGCCTCCAATCGCACGAATCGGTCCCAGGAGCCCCCCATTGGCGGAAGTTCCCGCGTTCGGTGCACAACTGTCCTGGCCACCTGCCTATGTGGATGCTGTTCCACGTCGCGCGCAATCTCGATTTACGCGTTCTCTCAACAGGGCCACGCATGGACTGATCAATGGAAGCAAGAACATGGCCACGAGACCAGACGCATGAGGAAACATAGTGCACGTGTTTAGGCACGCCGTTGGCAATCTTTGCGGCCCCACCGCGAATGCAAAGATGATCCGTGGAGCACTCAGAGCCCATCGAGTCAGCGAGCTCTTTGCATGCGCGCGGAAAAGGTGCACGACTGAAGTTTACGGTTTACGACCCCACCTATTGGAGTTCATCAACAGATCCTTGGAAGAAGGCGCTGGCAAAGAGTGAGCGCGGACTATGGCAGCGCGACCCTTTCGGGTGCAAGACGCAAGATTCAGGGGACATGTGCGTCACAACGCGCGGGATATTACAATGTGGTAAACAAGGGAGCTTCACATGGTGAACGCGCCAGTGCAAACGAGCGACGCCCGCAAGGGTCTGGAACAACCTGTGCTGGGCAACGGCCAAACTCTTAGCTTCAAATTGTCTTTCAACGCGCCGTGTGACCACATCCGCAAAATGAGGTTTTCTTTTGACGAACGGTTTCGAAAGCGAGCAGATGCGGCCACCTTTTCGCCCCATGCTACCATGGCGAATCGCTCAGACGGCTACGCTAACAGATGAGAGGGCCGACGTGCTGCTATAACTGCCCCCCGTCGCATCATCGGCGCAAACAGCGTGCATCGAACCGTGTTCTGTCGGGGGTCATCTTTCCGTCGGAATGGACGGCCAGGCGCGCATCCTTCCCCTTGGATAGCACTAGAAGCATTCGGCTGGGACTGGTAAAGTGGCCACACATACTTATGAACACATGGGGCGTTCAACCTCGGCTGCAATATTTGTTCCTCGATGCACCGCATCTCGAAGGCAGAGCTCGACGAAAGGTACAACATATGAAATTTTACGAAATATCCAGCCCTCAACGATTTCATCTCATAGTATTCTAGAGTCTGGGACCCCCTCCGAGGCGTCATCAGACACTGGTGGTGCTCATTTGCGCGGTCCAACATGCGGCGGTTAGTCTTACCTGTGTAGGCAAAGCCACGGGGCATAGAAAAGCACAGGTAAATGACATCAGAGGCGCGGTGCATAACAAAACGGTCACTGGCAACACCACGGCACGCACGTTGGATGAAACTGATCATCTTCACATGGGGCCGGAACGTGGATGACCCCAACGACCCGACGCAAGCCAGAGCACGAATATGGTTCTCAACATGCAAACACGAAGTGGGCCAATCCCTGTCGGACACGCAAACGCACTCGGCAGTACTTTCATTCCTACATGTGGTGGACAAAGGAAGCGGTGATGGCGACGATGCGTTGAAAAGCTTCGCGTCGAAAGTGACACTCACGCACACCCACATCAACATTACTAACAAGAATGCTGGTCTAACGGGCAGCCATAACATTTCTCACCTTATCAAACAATGGCTGAGCATTGAAGCCGCGCGCGTCTCTCACTAAAACGCCCTCGCGTTTTGCTTGAGATGTAGAGAACTAGTGTTCGACGTTGATTCGGCGGCAAACGCAAGAGAATACACATGAGGAGGAACAAGGACAACCATCAAACTGAAAGCCTAATCGCGCAAAGTGCAGACGGACTATAGCAGCAGGCTGACGGAACTACCAATCTTACTGGCCACGCAGAACAGCCTCTCATGTTAGGATCAGCCAACGGAGCGCTCCGCGCATATCCTGTCCATGGCACTGGAGCAGAAGAAGCTCCATCTGCTGCACGGGGGCGGCGACGCGCATGAGGATTCGGAGTGCCGATCTGGAAATTCACCGGCGCGTTCGGAAAGTCACGCTTCGAGAGGTACCCTTTCGTAACGATCTCGTCGAAAACGTCCGCCCAGGAGATCTTGTAGGTGCACTCGTCCGCCATCATCTCGGCTGCGAGTATCTTTCCCGTTCGGTCCAAAACCAGATCGCAAACATCCAGTCCAAGAACATATTTGAGTTTCGTCTCCTGAGCTCCCTGGTCGGCATCGCGATCATCATGTCGAAAATCTGTCTCGACGCGATTCCGTGGTCCAGACTGGGCACGTTGCTGTGGGACGTGTTGGGGCCTGTGCTGATTACGACGGGAAGCATCGTCACGGCGCCTACGGTCCAAGTAACACTGAACCGTCTCCGACCAGGCCAAGTCGAATTTCTTGCGTGATGTTCGCGCCCCTACCACGTACTGACCCCGAACTTCGTCAGGTACGGACACGGGGATCAAATGGGACACCTCAGCTGCGCGATCAAGTTGCCCCCAATAACAATATGATTATGCGATCAAGTGCACGAAGTCAATCACCCCCTGCCATGCAACAGACTGGAACGATCTTCTCCTTCTTCATCGAATCGCGCATTCGGACGTGGTTCGTCGCGATCGACACCACCTCGAACTCAGCTGGGTCGTCGGGATGCAATGAAATGAATCTGCATGGGGGTCTTCCGTGACCTCGCGAAGATGAGCCTCTTGACCTTCGAACACTCGCATGGCACCCGGACGCGCAGGAACCATCGTCGGGGCTGACATCGGGAATGGTTGATAGCCGGGCATCGGAACGACGCGCCCGAATCCAAATCCAGGTGGACGAGGTGCGAAAGGGTTGGACATCGCGGCAAAAGAAGTGAGCAAATGAAAGAGTGCACGCTGAACGGAGCTACTTGGGGATTGCGGATCGGTAGCAGGCAGGCGGGGCCCGAGACCAACCCGAATAGACAGGATGTGTGCAACTTCCCTGAGCTGTAGCACCAGCTGCGAGCCCAAGAACAAAAAGGACGGAAGAAACAACCATACACGAACCCATAGACACACCGCTCATGAGGCGAGCGCGCTCCACGACTTGCAAAGGAACTACTCGCACGTGGTCCGCATCCGCCGCGAGGGATGTACGATCCATGACGCATAGGAGGAAAGCCTGTTTGTTGTTCGGGCGTTTTTGCAAGCAATCACTTTGCGAGTAGCGAGGCGCGCTCGGAAGAATCTATGATGGGCCTGTTGTCCACCACCAACACCATAAGTTGGAGGTGGAGGGGGTCCTCGTCCTCCTCTTCTTTCTCCTCTTCTTCGTCCTCCTCCTCCTCCTCCTCCTCTTCCTCCTCCTCCTCCTTCCCCCCTCCAACTTATGGTGGTGGTGGTGGTGGAAAACAGGCCCGTCAATATGAGACAACGACGGCGAAGAAAGCGGACGAGCGGAGGCCAGGAAGCGCCCAACGCTCAGCTCGCGGCCTTGCGCGCTTGCAAGGAGGAGACTGGCGGGGGGAGGGACAGGAGGGGGGGGAGAGAAGGGAGGGTGGAGAGGGGGACGAGGGGTGGGGGAGAAGGGGGTGAAGGAGGAGCACATAGCACACGACGGAGGAAGGGAGGAAGAGGAGGAGGAGGAGGAGGAGGAAGAGGAGGAGGAGAAGGAGGAGGAGAAGGAGGAGGAGGAGGATAAACAGGGGAAGGAATGGAAGAAGGATGGTCGTCGCCGGACCGAAGCATGAGTGCCAGGCTGAACTACCGTCTTCTTGCTCGAGAGAATCTTGAGAAGGATGGAGGGAGGAGGGAAGGAGGGAGGGACGGGGGGTGGGAGGGAGGGAGGGAGGGAGGGAGGAGAAGGAGGAGGAGAAGGAGGAGGAGGAGCTCTTTTGAGGCGGCGGAGGGGATGGGGAACTTCTTGGAGCTCGGCGGGCCCTCCGGCCATCGGCGGCGGTCCGCCCCAGCCGCCCCGCTGATGGTCAGCACCTCGGGACTGCCGGCCCCCGCGGCGCCCACCCCCGCCCCCGCTCCCCCTCACACTGCTGATGCGGCGGCTGGCGCAGCCAGCAACCAGCACAGCTCGATTCAAGATCTGGCATCTCTAGCTGTGTAAATGTACAAGAGTTCGGAAGAAGCGGAGGTCGAGAGAGGGAGTAGGAAGGCGGATCATAAAGTAGGTTGGGTTCGGGCCCGCCCACATAATCATACAACACATGCTTAAAACCAACAGGTACGTTCTTGACGCAGGAAGGCGCTTGAAGTAGATTGGGACCCAGGAGTCAAAACAAAAACATACTTTCAAAGACCTACGGCGAGTATCTGTACATGCGATATGGTAGGGCGATGCCCTCCGCGCCGCACAAACGCGTCCCCGAATCCCTGCGGCTCGTGTTGCTCCTGCTCTTTCCCCTCCCCCTGCTCTTCTTTCTGGATATCCTTCCCCTTCTATTCCCCCCCCTCCTCCTCCGCCTCCTCCTCCTCCTCCTCCTCCTCCTCCTCCTCCTCCTCCTACATCCCCCCCTCGAGGGGAGGAGGCGGAGGCGGGGGGAGAAAGAGGACGAGGGAACGTGACGGAGGGGGGATGGGGAGGAGAGAGGAGGAGCCCTCTTTCTTCCGCTTCCTTCCCCATGCCATGCCCCCTGCGTCCCCTCGTCTCCCCTCGTGACTCCCGCCCTCCCGACGCTTCCCTACCGCTCCCCGCCGCCTCGCGCCCTCGCACAGCAAACCGATCCCGTCTGCCTCACATCCCTCGCCCCCTCGCCTCCCGCGCTGAAACCCCGCATCTGCGCTCCGCTGCAGCTCACCGCCCAGCTAACTCCGCCCCCCCCCCTCCCTCATCCCTCACCAGTCCTTCACTCCCTCTCCTCCTCCTCTCCTCCTTCCTCCTCTCTCTCCTCCTCCCCACCTCACTCCTCCACCCCACCTCTCCTCCTACGATCCCCCCCCCCTCTATGGGAGGAGGCGAGGCTTGGGTAAGAAATAGTTCCGAACTCACAATCCAAACAACAATAAGCAAAAAAAAAAAATGGACACCTCCCTCCCCCCTAGCCCCCCTCCCCCCTTCTTCCCTAGTCCTTCTTTTTTTGTCAGGTTCTGCGCTCGTTATTCCGCCCACAAAACAAAACAAACCCAACATCCCACCAACCCCACGCCCTGCCCCCTTAGCTACCCCACGCACCCGTCGAGACACCTCCCCGATCCCGCCACCACAACCTACGCTTCCCCAATAACCGCACCCCGCCCGCCTCGCGCCCTCGCACAATAAACGAAGAGTCCCTCTTGCACACCCCTCGCCCCCGCGCTCCACCCCGCGCTCCCCGCTCCGCTCCGCGCGCTCCGCCCAGCTCGCCCCCTCCCCTCCCTCCTCCTCCTCTCCTCCCTCCTCCTCCTTCCACCTCCTCCTCCTCCTCCTCCTCCTCCTCCTCCACCTCCTCCTCCTCCTCCTCCTCCTCCTCTCCTCCTCCTCCTCCTCCAAATCTCCTCCTCCCCCCCGCGCCGACCCTGCTCCGCCTCGCCCCTGCTCCGTCGCCGCCCCCCGTTCGCCGCCTCCCCCCGCCCCCGTCTCCGGGCGGGCGGGCCTATAAGGCGCGGCCCCGGCTGGTGGCCCGCGGCTGGGCCGGGGCCTGCCGGCCTTCTCCCCCCCAGGAGGGCCCAGAATCGAATCGATAAGTCGGATCGGCGATCGACATACATCGGATCGGCGGAAATCGGCAGCCGAGTCGGGAATAGTCGAATCGGCGTGAATCGGCAGGCTAATAGGCCTCCATTGAGAACTCGGACCCCAGATCGAAATCCGAAGTCGAATCGAATCGGAATCGGAACCCATCCAAATCGAATCGAATCGAATCGGAGCAATCGAAATGAGTCCTGCCCCCCCCCTTGGTGCAGGGTCCACGCCAACCTGCCAGCACGGGCGCGTGGTGCGCACGCGTGCCCTCTGTCGGCCATGTGCGGCCCGATCGCTGCAGTGCGGGAGGGGAAGCAGGGTGCCTGCGACAGGGGGGACCCCGATCCCGTGCCCTCCACTGTGCTCTCGTTCGCCCCGCCCTCTTCCAGCCCTCCACCGTCGCTTCCTCGCGTCTCGCCGCGGGCTCAACCTGGAATGTGATCCTCCCCGTGCTCCTCGTCCTCGCGTTTCCCCCAGTCGTGGCTTTGTTTTTTTTGCAGACGGTCCACACGCGGATTTGTCCTTCTCGATCGTTTTCATCGCCCTCGTAATCTTTCTCTTCTCTTCTCCTCCTCCTCCTCCTCCGCCTCACTTTCTCCCTTGTCATTTTCTTCGCCGTCGCCCTCCTCCTCCTCCTCCTCCTCCTCCTCCTCCCCTTTCTCCTCCTCCGTCCTCCTCGTCTCCTCGGTGGGACGGTTGGGGGTGGGGGGCTGGCGGGGGGCACCGACACCGGCACGTCCCTGGGGCAGTGCAACAGCTGCGCCTTCGGGGACTCGCCGTCCTGCCCGCCCGAGCCCACCAGGACGGCGCGGGGCATCGCGGAATGAGGGCCGAACGAGAACGATGAGGATAGGGAGCCCACAAAGGACGTACGCGCCCAGCGATGTACATGAACACGGCCCCTCGGTTCGCGAGACCGGCCGCGTTATACGAACATTTGTGCAATGCGTGTTCTCGAAACCAGCGTGGATTCATGTACCTGTACGTCCTTCTTTCGCTCCTGAGAGGATACGCGTGATTGGCGTTCCTGTTCACGGAACAGCGCTTGCACTCAGAGTTTCTCGCTTCCCTGCCCAAGAGATTAGCTGGGTGGGGGTCAGCCGCTCCACTTTTCGCATTGCAGCTTGCATGCGTCTCTGATCCCGACCAGCCAGGTCTCGCTCCCCCCGCCATCCCTGTCAACTATACAATGCGCGTGCACGCGGTTATCCCAAACAATCTGTTCCGCGAGCTCCTTACAAAAAAAACGGCACGACGTCCACACGCGCGCGCACATTTCGAAAACATACCAAGCATCGTACACGTGCCAACGCTTAGACATCAAAGCAGTCAAACAACCCTGATGTTTGCCATTGGAACTCTTGAAACTTTTCTGCCCGCGCGCATACGCTGAACTCGTGAGAAACGATTAACTTTTGCAATATCGTCCAGAACTCGTATTCCCATCTCACTACACGGTACACCTGCGTTGATCGGGCATGCGACCCGTGCAAGAAGCCGTACCAAGTAAGACCATGTGGGTCACACGCGCGCGCTGCCACGCGCGCGTGCCGAAATCCTTTTGGAACCGTCTGTATTCGCAGCTCGTTAAGATAGAGTTTGTCAAACACATATAGCAAAAGGTGTTTGCGACACAAGGAATATCATATTATGGTATCTCTACGCGAGTGTTCTTCATCACCATCAACCGCATAAGAACCATGCCATCACCGCCAATACATCGCCAGTCGCCGCCATTGCCGCCATCACTCATTCACCGTCCCCACCGACACATGGACATCATCAACATCATCATCAACATCCTCCAGAAATGCTTCCCCATCCTCATCCTCATCCTCCTCCTCCGCTTCCTCCTGATCCTTCTCCTTTTCCATCTCTTCATCATCATCGTCGTCATCTTCATCGTCGACACCAGCAACGGCGCCGTCACTGGTCTTGCCATCGTCGTCGTCTCCACCACCATCGCTTGTGCCATCATCGTTGTCGCTGTTGTCGACGTTATCGTGATATCGCTCACTCCCGAGTCACCGACCCACACTGCAGTGCCCAAGCGCTAGCGCAGCCTCTGAGACGCGCTGGGGAGTTTCCATCGGCAAGCGCCATCGCGGCCGCATCAGCTGTGCCAGACCAGCTGGCATCTGTGGGCACGAACTTGCGCGCGCCAGCGCGGCCGCAGAGATGCAGCAGCCAGTGCCACGCCTATCCACAACAACGGCCACATGGGTCATGCAAAGACAACTACAGGTCGCAGGGTAGGATGGTTACGCGAGCAGTGGAGTTGGCAACTCCAAGGACTAATAGGAAACGCACCCAATAGCTTACACTACATAGCATTCACATCCACAATGCAATAACTGAGGTCAGGCTTGTGGAGAGAAACAAGGAGGAAGTGTCCAGCGGCCTCTGGATGTTCCTGGAAGCCTCTCGAGGCCCCAAGCATGCCAGACACATTTGAAAACCACTCCCATGGACCACTCTCTAGGCCCATTTGAGCGCTGCCGCGTCAAACGCACGGATACCTCTCTGGTTATCTCTCTCACGCTGTCTCTCTCTCTCTCTCTTTCTCACTCTCTCTCTCTCTCTCCCTGTCTGTTTGTTTTTTAGTATCTCTTCTTCTCTCTCTCCCTCCCGCTCTCCCCTCTCTGTCTCTGTGTCTCTCCCTCTCCCCTCTCCTTCCCTCCCTCTTGACATCTTCCTCATCCTCCTCCTCCTCCTCCTCCGCTGGGTGTACCTCCCCTTCCTCGCTCGCTCCCTGGGGCTGAAACGTTTGAGCCCGTGCCCAAACATCAAACCAGAAAGGACCCACAACGAGTCTTCGGTCGGGCGTGTCCTCCTACAGGCGGGTTTTGGACGACACACAGAAAATAGTCCATATATATATATATTCAGAAATTGCACGTGGTCGAACCATCGTCCCCAGATTTTTTTTTTTTTTTTTTTTTTTTTATATATAAAAAAAACAACAACAACTATTTTTGAATTTCCTCCTGTAGAGGGGCACGCACGACATAAAAACGAGTACACGGAGGCCCAGACGGGAAGCCGTCCGGCCGACGTCGCCGCGAGGCCCCCCTGGAGCCTCGCCCGGGAGTTCACGCCGCCTCGCCAGGGCAGGGCGGTCCAAGGTCGAGGCGATCCCACCAGGCATGCGCCCCAGACACCACGGCCCGTGCCGCTTCCCCTCCATTCCATTCCATGCCCCTCCTCCTCCTCCTCCTCCTCCTCCTCCTCCGTCCTCCTCCTCCTCCTCCGTCCTCCTCCTCCTCCTCCTCACTCCTCCTCCTCCGCTCCTCCTCCTCCCTCCTCCTCCGTCCCTCCGCATCCTCCGTCACGCTCCCCTCGTTCTCTTAACTCTTTCTCCTCCTCCTCCGTCCTCCTCCTCCTCCTCCTCCTCCTCCTCCTCCTCCTCCTCCTCCCGTCCTCCCTCTCCTCCTCCTCTGCCTCTCGCGCCGAGGGCCCCTGGAGGTCTGAATCCCCTTTTCTCCTGGACCGGCCCTGCCCCCCCGAGCACTCGGCTGGCCGCGCCTGGGCCCGGCAGAGGCCCCCCTTAAGAGGCCGACCACGCTCCAACACATGCCGTGTGTTTTTTTTGTGCCTCTACGACGAGGAGGAGGGAGGAGAAGGAGGGAGGAGGAGGAGGGAGGAGGAGGAGGAGGAGGAGGAGGGAGGAGGAGGAGGAGGAGGAGGAGGGAGGAGGAGGGAGGAGGAGGAAGGAGCGTCGTTTGACCAGCCCCCATCCCCACCGGCGTGGCCTGGGCCCCACTGGCCGACTGAAAGCCCCAGGTGGGGATAGAGGCCGCTACCTTCGGGCTTCGAAGGGTACATCCTCGACTGTCGGGCCGGGCGAAAGGGGGGGATAGCAAAGGGGAGGGTTTGAGAATCAGCTCACGTAGCTGATTCTCCAGGCGCCTCCCGGCGCCAGAGGCGGCTATGTATCGAGGAATGGGCCCCTCGGTGGGGCCGAAACCAGCTGCATGCAGCAGATTTCGTAAGCCCCCATTTCCCATTCCCCCCCGTTCGTTCGGCCCGAGGCTGGGGTGCTGAGATGCCGGGGGTCTGGATGGAGATGGGGATGGGGATGGGCATCGGTTAAGCGATACTGCAGAGAGCGACCCCGCCGACCCGGGAGGGGAGGGGCCCGCCGTCCCTTCCTCCCTGCCCAGCAGGAGAGCAGACCCCCCCCCCGTGGGTCCTCGCTCGAGTTGCCGCCGCCCCCGGCCGACTCCAGGCCGGAGCGCAGGACGCGGCAGTTCGAGGACAGCAGCACCACCGAGGGGCCTGACGGCGCTGCGCAGTGGCCTCGCCTGCCGCCTCCGCCTTCCCCGCCTCCTCCTCCTCCTCCTCCTCCTTCTCCTCCTCCTCTTCCTTTCTTCCTCCTCCTCCTCCCTCCTCTTCCTTCTCTACTCCTTCTCCTTCTCTCCTTCTCCTCCTTCTCTCCTCCTTCTTCTTCTTCTCTCCTCCTCCTCCTCCTCCTCCTCCTCCTCCCCTCCTCCTCCTCCTCCCCTCATCTTCTCTCCCCTCTCCTTCTCTCCTCCCTTTCCTCTCTCCTTCTCCTCCTTCGCCCTCTGGCCGCTCTCCCTCTCTCGCCTCTCTCCATCCCTCGCCCCTCCCTCCATCCTCCTTCTCCTCCTCCTCTCCTCCCTCCTTCCTTCCTCTCCCTCCTCCTCCCTCCTCTTCTTCTCTACTCCCTCTCCTTCTCTCCTTCACCTCCTTTCTCTCTTTTTCTCCTTCTCTCCTCCTCTCCTCGCCTCCTCCTCCTCCTCTTCCTCCCTCCTCCTCCTCCTCCTCCCTCCTCCTCCTCCCCCCTCATCCTCTCTCCCTCCCTTCTCCCCGCCTTCTCCCTCTCTCCTCCTCCTCCCTTCCCCTCTCTCCCTCTCTCCTCCTCCTCCTCCTCCTCCTCCTTCTCCTCTTCTTCCTCCTCCTCCTCCTCCGCCTCCTCCTCATCCTCCTCCTCCTCCTTCTCCTCCTCCTCTTCCTCCTCCCTCCTCTCCCCTCTTGCCCTTCCATCCCTCCTCCTTCAGCCCTCGCAGAGGGAAAAAGACACGAACAGAAACGTTCGGGGAACCCCGCGCGGGTCGCTCGTATCTGCGCTGCCCCCCCCCAACCAAGGTCTGTTACGTCTGTTTTTCCCTCGCTCCTCTCGCTCCTTCCGTCATGTCTTCCCCCTCCTCCCCACGCCCTCTTGGAAGAGAGGGCGGGGGGGGGAGGCGAAGAGGGAAGACGGGGCGAGGAGAGACACTTCTGCGGAAGGGAAACATCGATGTGGGAGGGCACGGTCAATCGAGGGAGGGGAGGGAGGGATGGGCGGAAGCGGAAGGGGGGGGGAGATTGGCAGGGAGGAGCTCAGGGAGGGAGGGAGGGATGGGGGAGGCTGTTTCAAGGGGGTTCGAGGAAGGAGGGGGGATTGGGGAAGTTGACTGGAGCCTTGCGCATGAATGAGGAGGTGGGGAAGGGGAGGACATGAGGAGGAAATGAGGGGAGCCGTGGGGGGAAGGAAAGGGAGGAGGAAGGAGGAGTGGGATGAGAGGGGGGACGGGGAGGAAGAGGGAGAGCAGGGAGGACGGGGAGGAGACACGAGGGAGTGGGCGAGATACGCGGGGTCCAAAATGCGGGAGCCCGCGCCCATGCAGGGCTGCCGCTGCCAGGCATGGAACACGCAACACGTCATCGTGACCCAGAAAACATGTCTTCCTGTGAATATATCCATCGCTTGCATAGCAAACCTTGCGTTCGACCGCCAAGTGGCGGACGCACGGAAACACTATCTGACCATATGTTTCACATGTGGAACGACCCATATTTGATTGGGCAACACCTTCGAGGCGGTGCTGCAATACGACCCGAGATTTGGATCCGACATTATCGTACACCGTGTCCGCTGTGCGCGTGGCCCTCGCCATCCAATCCACCCGCGGTTCCAACTGCGCGTCGCTGGGGTGCCCCCACGTGCTGCGTTTGGCTTTGGGCGGTGTTCCGTGGCATCTGCCGTCGTTCGTTTTGCAACCAGCGCTCTCTCTCTCTCTCTCTCTTTCCCTCATGCCATTGCTCAACAGCCGCTCCCGTATAGAACCACATATGTAAAGCTGTCGAAGGAGCTGCAGCCGAGGCGTCGGCCTGTCATGCTTGTTGCATGACAGTGCCAGACAATTCCGAATCAATGCCCGCCCTCATCCGATCGTGTTGGACCTCGGCGTCGTGGCGCTCGGCGACGCGCACGACACGCCCCACACATGCAGAACTCCCCCTCCCACTGGCCTCACATGCGATTGTCTGAACACACGCTTGCGACTCTGCACGTCGGGAAGGACGTCTTCCAGCTGCGGACTTCTGCTCGAGCTTCCGCGGCCGCTTGGCCGAGGTCCTCCCGCGCGTGCTTGACTTGCGCCCGCGTTGCCTGCAGTAGACACGCGTCATCGGCGAACCTCAAGTTTGTGCAAGACATCACGTGTGGTGGGTTAGACCTACATCACCTGCACTGGTTGCTCAACGAATGCATGCGCAGAAGTATGTCGCGCAACGGATGCACACAGAACGTCAAGCCATTTCGTTTTGAGATTAATCATGACCTGAATCATGATACGCACACCCCCTAGTCCTCACCCCCCTCTTTTCCGGTCCCGGCTATCCTCACTCCAAACCGTTTCGACCAAACGGTGTTCGCTAACTTGCGCACCTCATCATCCAGAACAGCCTTGAACAAGCTAAGGTTCGTGGGATCTCCCTCTAGCGACCCGCTGCAGTGTGAAAAAGGTGGCCCCGATGAGGAACAATATTCCTTATATGGTTTTCGTGCAGATTGACAAAGGCCTTGATCAACCTCTTCAATACCCCGAAATTGCTCGACGAACTAATGCTAGTAATCCGCAACCGTGCCCCCTGGCACGTTGAAGCGTGGTCCAATGCGCACACAGAGCAAGTTCTTCCCCTACCTAAAGTCAAAACAAGGGTACCGCCACACAGGGATCTGTCGAGGGTGGGTGGGTCCCTGGACGTTTGGCCTGAACGTCCCCAGATAGCCCCAAGATGGCCCCGAGGAGCGCCCCAATATGGCCCCGAGGTGACCCCTGAAATGTCGGTGGAGTACCTTCTTGGGGCTTTCTTTGGGCGTTCCTGGGCCTTCTGTGACTCGTCTTCGGGCCGCCCTGGCGGACTCTTGGATCGCCTTGGAAGCCGCTTTGGCTGTCTTGTAGCCCTGTTGGATCATCTTGGGGCCCTCTTCGGGGCCTCTGGGGCCGTCTTGGGCGCCCCAGGGGCCCAACAAAAGCGAGCATGCAACAGTCCTGGAAACACCAAGTTAACACAAGAAAAATCATCTTTTTCATGGGGAGGCCCTCTCGGTCCTCTTGGAGGCGCCTGCGACCCACGGTGGGGGCCTCCTGGGCCGTCTTGGGGCGCCCTTGGGCATCTTTGGGCTATCTTGGGCCGTGGTGGAGCCCCTGTGGGCCATCTTGGGCCTCTCTTAGACCGCCTCGGGCTATGGACCGGCCGTCTCCGAGGTGCGGGGGCGCTCCCGGGGCCTGCCGGGCGGGTTGCCATCCGCTGGCGCGGACGCCATTCTGGCACGCGCTGCCCCACGTTGGTGGAACAGTTTGACGGTGCTGGGCTACACCTTCGTTTCAGTCCGTTTGCTGAGACGTTGCCACTGTCAACCATTGCCAAGTGCCTCGATAGTCGCAGTGCACTTTCTTGGGCCCTCAAGTACTTACTTGGGGAGATGCTCCATGCAACGATAGCAGCGCTGCACGCAGCCGCCTGGACCGACAAGACTTCGAGGCCTCGGCATGGCAAGACGCACTGGGTAGACAGTCTCGCCAAGCAGGCTCCAAAACGAACTCCGAACGAAACCTGTCCAACCAAGACTGCTTCGAGCCACTGCTGGAGCCAGACAGGTCTGCAGATCCCAGGGAAGGGAGAACGACCAGGAGCAGGAGGACGAGGAGCTGCTGCTCTCCAGCGCTGCCGCTGCCTTCCTCCCTTTCCTGCCCAGACAAGCCATGGACACGTCGTCGCGCCATCGACCCCACCTGGATGCCAATTTATCCCCGGGGGCACCTGCTGGGAAAGCGATGTCTTCACTACAGTAGGAGCCCGACCACAAGAACCTTCCACACGAAACCCAACCCTGGGACCCCAGGACGTCCATTGATTTTTGTGAGGGAACGTCACGCGAAACCATCGAAACCCAACAAACCCAGGGCACCCTGGAGGCGAGCAAGGTGTTTTTTTGGCATAGGCCCCCCACTGTATTCCGGGCAGGGCGCGTAGCTGTTGGCGTGGGCATCCGCACCTCCGCCCCCGCGGCGACAAAAGCAACATGTGAAAGGAACGCACTTGGCTCCGTGAAGCAGATCCCCTCTCGTAACCAGAAGCCCAGGGCCGACCGATGCATCGCCAACGCCGTTGGAGACCGAAAGCTCTGCGGTCTGGAGACGAAGAACCCTCCTCGAGGGAGCGAGGAGGTTCACCTCCTCGAGGTCTACCCCTCGAGGGAGCGAGGAGACCAGGAGTCCTCCTCGAGGGAGCGAGGAGGCGCGCGGTCCTGAGATGGGCCTCCTCCTCCTCGAGGCAGCGCGGGGGTTCACCTCCTCGAGGGAGCGAGGAGGTCTACCCCTCGAGGGAGCGGGGAGGCTGACCCCTCCAGGAGGCGTCTGCCCCTCGAGGGAGAGCAGTCCTCCCCGATGGGGGCGGGGGAGGCTCTCGCCCCCCCCCCCCCGTGGCGGAGGGGGCGACGCCGGGGCCGCGTCCGAGGCGGCCCCCCCGAGGATCTCTCTCTCTCTCTCTCTCCTCGGGGGGCCCTCTCGGAGGCCGGCGGGGGGCAGCACCTTTGAAGGGCCCCAGGGCACACAAACAAATACACACAAATAAAACGATTCCCCCATATTTTCTCATATTTTCTGTTTTTTTTGTCTTCCCCCCCCCACTTCCCATATTTTCCCATATTTTCCCATATTTTCTGGGAGATCGACGATTAATTGTGTCTGTGTGTCTTTTCCCCTCCTGAACCTTCGAGACCTCCCGGGGTGCCTCGCCGAGACGCATCGCCGACGCGGCGCGGGCCTCTCCGCCCTCCTCTCGGAGGCCTCTAATTATGGCTGCCCGAGGGCCAAGCGCGGCGGTTTTTGGTCACGCGGGGCGTTCTTGCCTCGCTCTGGGTCCTGGGGTTAGGAGGAGGAGGAGGAGGAGGAGGAGGAGGAGGAGGAGGAGGAGGAGGAGGAGGAGGAGGAGGAGGAGGAGAAGGAGGGTGTGTCCCCCTTACAGGGGGGGGTTCGACGAAAAATAACAAATACCCCAACAAGAATCAAAAAAAAGTCAAACAAATACTCAAAACATAGTCCCCAGACTATTTTTGGATCTTTTTGTTGACTATGTTTGGGGTATTTTTATTTTTCGTCGAAGATCCCCCTGTAGGGGGACAGGCGCGACGTAATCCTGGGGCCATCACCGAGCGGTCCAGGGGACGCGCGGGGCGGGCCGGGGGCTCAGTGGGGGGTCGGTGAGCTGTTCGAGTGCCCCCACGATGGTTTTCTGTCGGCTCCTCAACGGATCATTCAGGCTGCGTGCTGCTGCATGCACGCCTCTGCTGGAGGGGCTCCGAGACAAAAACGGCGATGTCGGCTCCTCAACGGATCATTCAGTCTGCGTGCTTGTTGCATGCACGCCCCTGCTGGAGGGGCTCCGAGACAAAAACGGCGACGGAAGCGAAAACCAATCGTGGGGTGGCTGATGAGCAATTCGAGTGCCCCCTGGTCCATTCGGAGGGGACCCAAAGTAAGGAGGGCCACAGACATCGCGGACAGAGAGCCTTCTTGCAGATGCCCCAGGCGAGGCCACCCACAAGTTTAGGGATATATACATATGTATATATTAACATATATATATATATATATATATATATATATATATGTATGTATATCCCTGGACACCGATGGCCTAAGTTAGGCCCCGAGTTCCTTGTGCTATCAGTGATGTAGGCCACGAGTTCTAAGTTAGGGTTGACCTAGGCCTAAGTTAGGCCCAACTCAGAGTTAGAACTCGTGGCCCAAGTTGGGCCACGGGTTCTCAGTTAGGGTTCGGGGTTGCATGGTGCTCAGCGAGCGCTGCCCCGGCTGGACGGCATCTCTGGACGGCCCAGGGACCAGCTCCGACAACGCACCTCTTTTCTTCCGACGTGGGCCCCCGTGAAGCCCGACCCCTTCCTGGGGGGCCAGCTTCTGCCCCTGCGACATTCAAGGGGCCCCAGGACACACACATAAATACACACAAATAGAAATATCCCGCATATTTTCCCAGATGTTCTGGGTTTCTGTCTTCCCCCCCACTTCCCATATTTTCCTATATTTTCTGGGGAATCGAGGATTAATTGTGTCTGTGTGTTTCTTTTCCTCTTGAGACATCACTTGACGGCCGCGGGGCCTGGAATCGGCCCCCGAAGGCAGAACAAAGACGCAGAAACATTGGCCGTCGCCGGTGTATGCTGCGTTTGCTTCTCCAAGCTCCAGTAAAATTGCTTGCAGGGCAGTTCCCCATCCCCCCAACCCCGTCCCGACCCCTCTTTCAAACAGTGCTGGCTGCGCCGCAAAGGCGCGCAAGACAATTCCGACTTTCGTGGAGTGCAGAGTCTCTTTCGTAGAGGCCTCCTACATGGGGTCGGAGTAGATGGGGTCGGAGGATCGCTCCGCATCGCCGATGCATCGGCGATGCATCGCCGACGTCGGCGACGCATCGGCGACGTCGGCGTGGAGAAACTCGGGCTCCGCATCGAGCCACATCGCCGATGCATCGGCGACGCGGCGCAGCCCTCCGACCCCAGCCACCCCGACCCCACCTGGGAGGCCGAGATTCCCGGCCCCGCCACACTCCCCCACCCCCACCCCCTCCGTGCCGCATCTCGGGTCGGGCCAAAGGGGGGGGACAGCAAAGGGGGGGGTTTGAGACTCAGCTCGCGTAGCTGCTTTTTTCCCGGCGCCTCCACGGCGCCGGAGGCGGCTAGGTATCGAGGAATGGGCCCCTCGGTGGGGCCGAAACCAGCTGCATGCAGAAGATTTCGTAACCCCCCCTTTCCCAATCCCCCCCTCTCGCCCGGCTCGAGCATCGCCGATACTGAAGGGGCCCTGGGACACACAAATAATACACACAAATAAAATGATTCCCCATATTTTCACATATTTTCTGGGTTTTTGTCTTCCAGCCCAATTCCCATATCTTCCCATATTTTCCTGGGACTCGACGATTCATTGTGTCTGTGTGTTTCTTTCCCTCCTGAGATACGTCGTCGGCGATGCACCCCCCGCTCGGCCGGCGCCCTTAAAGAGGCCTCGAAGGCGCGGCCCCTGCGTGCTTCCGAGAGGGCCCCCGAGGAGAGAGAGAGAGAGAGAGATCCTCGGGGGGGGCCCCTCTGACGTGGCGGCCCGCCGTCGCCCCCTCCGCCGCGGGGGGGGGGAGGGCGCAAGCCCCCCCCCCCCGCCCCCCTGGGGGAGGACTGCTCCCTCCCAGGGCGAACACCTCCTCGAGGGGTGAGCGCCTCCCCGCTTCCGAGAGTCCGAAGAGACCTCCGTGCAGAGGAGCAGAAGGAAGAGGAGGAGGAGGGGGAGGAGGAGGAGGAGGAGGGGGAGGGGGAGGAGGAGGAGGAGGAGGAGGAGGAGGAGGCGGAGGGGAGGAGGAGGAGGAGGAGGAGGAGGTTGAGGAGGAGGAGGAGGAGGGGAGGAGGGGGAGAGGAGGGAGGAGGAGACGTCGGCCGCCGCCGCTGAGCTCCCGCGGCGCGCGGGGCGCGCGCGCGCCCGACGACCGCCGGGCCACGTCCTCGGGGGAGAGGCCCTCGCCGGAGGCGCCGTACAGGACCTGACGCGCGGCGAGGCGGGCAGTCGTGCCGGCGGAGGGCCCATGTGAGAGAGTCGGGTCGGGCGAAAGGGGGGGATAGCAAAGGGGGGGGGTCGTATTTTTTCGGGTGGGGCCTTTCTGCGGGTTGTGGGGGTATTTCCTCGGGTTGGGTGGCTCGAGTTGGGTGGGCGGCTGGTGCCCGGACCCCGAAGGGCACAGGGTCGGGAACTCGGGTCGGGCGAAAGGGGGGGACAGCAAAGGGAGGGGTTTGAGGCTCAGCTCGCGTAGCTGATTTTCCTGGCGCCTCCTGGCGCCGGAGACGGCTACGTATCGGGGAATGGGCCCCTCGGTGAAGCCGAAACCAGCTGCATGCAGCAAGTTTCGTACCCCCCCCTTTCCCAATCCCCCCCTTGCGCCCGGCCCGAGAGAGAGAGAGCCCCGCGGGGGCGCCGGCGAGCCAGGAACTCTGCTGCTACGGTGGGGACAGCGGATAAGGGACCCTTGGATCAGGATCTGTTGTGCTATTTGTTCGCCATGTGTTGTATTATGTTGGGGGTATGGTGTGCTATTGTTTGGCTATTTTGGGGGTATTTCTTATTTGTCGTCGAAAATCCCCCTGTAGTGGGACAGGCCCGACTTAACTCTTATTCGGGCCGCGGGGCAGGCCGACAAAGAAAAGCGGGCCTTGGATCAGGAATCCAGGATCTGGAAGCCAGTGGAACTCCAATCGAGGGTCGGCCATGGACATCGCCGCCGCTCTCATTCTGAGGAATCCTCCAGGGTCTGGCGCCTGCTGGGACACCATTCCCACAGACGCCTCCGCCGCACCGAGTGAACCTTATGTCGGGCGTGTCCCCCTACAGGGGGATTTTCGACGAGAAATGAAACATACCCCAAAAATGCGCCAAAAAGGTAACAAACATACTCACGAAATAATCCCCAGACTTTGTTTTGATTATTTTTTTGCTTATTTTTGGGGTATTTTTTATTTTTCGTCGAAAATCCCACAGTACGGAGACAGGCCCGACTTAAAGTTAACCATTCAATCCGAGCGTGCTGCGAGCAGGGCGGGGGAGCAGCACACTGGCAGAGCAACCGGGGAGAGCAGCCGGGGAGAGCACCCAGGCTGTGGGGATGGGGGCCGGCGGGGCAGCGGGGGGGCAGCGCCCGCCCCCTCGCTCGGGCGCCCCCCTGCCCCGCGCACGCCTCGGAGCGGGGCCCAGGGCTGGGTTTTGTTTCGGGTTGAAAGGATTTTGTTTTTTTGTTTTCGGATCCAGCCCCCTGGGGGGCTGGAGCCGAAAACCAGTTCATATGCCTGTCAGCCCATTCGTTTTTGTCGAATACGATCTACGAAACGAACATGCGAACCATACGAACCACTGACCACGAGCATGCGAAATATGCGTTTTCAGTGCCACACGAACCACAAAAACCTGGCCTCCACCCGAAACAAAAACCCTCCGCGGGTTTCTTTTTCCGGGTTGGCCGGGTCTTTATTGTTGAGCTTGGGGGGTCGTATTTTTTCGGGTGGGGTCTTTCTGCGGGTTGTGGGGGTATTTCCTCGGGTTGGGTGGCTCGAGTTGGGTGGGCGGCTGGTGCCCGGACCCCGAAGGGCACAGGGTCGGGAACCCTTACTCCGCGCGCCGCGGCGGCGGCCCCGGCGGGGCACGCCGCGCCGGGTCAGCAAGGGCTCCCAACTTCGCGCTTCGCGCTCCGCGAAGCGCGAAGCGCGAATAACTTCGCGCTCTCGCGCCGCCCCCCCAAAGGGAGAAAAGGAGGACGAGGAGGAGGGGGGAGAAGGAACGAGGACCGCGAAGCGCGAATAACTTCGCACCCTCGTGGGAGCCCTTGGTCAGGCGGGAGGCGCGCCGCCCCGCGCCGTGCAGGCGGGAGGCGCGGAGCGGCGCGGAAGCCGTGGACGATCGGGGACCGGGGCGCGGATGGCGCGAGAGGAGACGAGGCGACTCCCAGGAGGAGAGTCCGAGGAGGAGGAGGAGGAGGAGGAGGGGGAGGAGGAGGAGGGGGAGGAGGAGGAGGAGGAGGAGGAGGAGGGGGAGGAGGAGGAGGAGGAGGAGGAGGAGGAGGAGGCAGAGGGAGGGGCCAGCCCAGATCAAAGTGGGGGCGGGGCTGCACCTTCAGGGGGAGACTCTGAGAGGGCAAGCGTGGTGGACACTTGCGCCTGTCGCGAAGGGCGCGGATGGCGTGTCGCGCCGCGGCTCGGCGGGCCAGAGCCAAGCGAAGCGGCACGCCATCCCCAGAAATGCACGACCGCCACCTGTCACAGCTTTTGGCGGCGCGCAGAGGGGGTGGGGGGAGGGGGGGAGGGCTTCTTAGAAGGAGGCTGCTTCTTAGAAGGCGCCGGCCTGACATCTACAGATAAGGCCAGCGCCTTCTAAGAAGGCAGGGATGCTTCTAAGAAGCCTCCCCCTCCCCCCAACCCCCTCTGCTGAATTACAAAATGCTCGGACCCCGCCGGTCCACACGTGGGCCAGAACCAGGCGGAGCGGCACGCGATCCCAACAAAAATCCCCTGGCCGCCATCGTTCACAACGTGGGCCCCCGATGGCCCAACCTTGGGCCAGAGCCAACGGAGCGGCACGCTCTCCCCGAATGCTCGACCGCGATCTTTCACAACGTGGGCCCCCGAAGGGCCCGAGCTTGCAAGCAGAAGCGAGGGGCCTCCTCTCGCCATCGCTCGGACGTCCAGTCCCTGTGTTTTTTTGTCGGTTTCGTGCGTGGCTTTTTCGCCAAATGACCAAGGATGCTATTCGATGGTCTTCGCCCAAGGAAAAATGCACACGTCCGAGCGATGCCAAGGTATAGATGGGGTCGGAGGATCTCGGCGCATCGCCGGCACAACGGCCACACGTCGCCGATGCATCGGGTGGCGTTGGCGTGGAGCAGACTGGGCCCCACACCGAGCCGCATCGCGGATGCATCGCCGGTGCATCGGCGATGCGGCGCGATCCTCCGACCCCATCTGGGAGACCCAGAAAGGCTTCCGTCGTGATTTTGTACACGGCGCAAGGGGGTGCGGCGCGAGGGCCGCCTCGGGGGGCACGCGGCGCTGCACACCTTCCTGGGGAGGGCAGGCCCGTGGCAGCCGGAAGCGACCGATCGGTAGCGACCGATCGCATCAGTAGCGACCCACTGGGTACCGATTTTTGCTCGGTCGCGATCGGTAGCGACCGATCGGCACTCCAAATCGGTTGCGACCGATCGTGACAGGAGAAGAATCGGTCGCGACCAGTCGCCTCCGATCGCGACCGATTTCGAGACACATCGCTCGCGACTGACACTGAAATTTGAATTAATATTGTACGCGACCGTTCCCGTCGGTCGCGACTGGAGAATTCCAAGATCAAATGATCAGTGATGGGCCTGCTTTCCACCACCACCACCATACGATGGAGGGGGGAAAGAGGTGGAGGGCGAGGAGGAGGACGAAGAGGAGGACGAAGAGGAGGAGGAGGAGGAGGAGGAGGAGG